GTTCAACTTCATCTCTCATTCTTGCATATCATATTAAAATTGTTTTAAAACCATTACAATGCATTTTTGCCTCTGTTTCAGAGTGATTTTTTGCAAAATCTGTTCAGAGTAACCGGTTACCTATTCCTGGTAATCGATTACCCTGTGTAAACTTTCAAATTTTTAAAAAATGTTGAGGCTGGTAACCGATTACCCACATATGGTAACCGGTTACTACTGGCACAATGAGCCAGAAAATTGCATCTGTTGGCAGAATTTTGTTTTCTCATTTCTTCTTGAACCATAGCAGCTCTTGGTCATTTACACTCTTTTGAAAAGGTGTTTAGAGGAATTTATATACCTCATAATCTCAGGCTTTGAGATTACCCTTCTTTCACAAATTCAAATTTCATTTCATCTCTCAAGTTCCAAATTTTCACAAGTGTAAAAAATTATCAATTTTCAGAGTGAAACTACTGTACCTCATATTTCATTATTTCATCATAGTTTCATTCCTCTATTCTCGAACACTTGTATTTGATATATAAGAGTTGATATCTCAAGAAGAAGATCAGTCGCAAGATTGATAATTGAATACTTCTGCAACTTACTCAAATTAGAATTATTTGTTCTTTGATTGCATCTTATTTTTCCAGGATTGTTGGAAATAAATTTGTAAGGTTGTAACCTTGCTGTCCAGGATTGTTGGAAGTAAGAGGTCCATTTTGAGAGGATTGTTCTCATTGGACTTAGTGAAAAATTCAAGAGGATCGTTCTTAGTGTTTTGATTGATTAAAGTCTGTATAAGAAAGACTAGGTAGAAGTATTGTCTTACGATCTAACAATATTGAAAAATCTTCGTGTTGAAAGGGGACTAGAGTACTCTCGGACTGTGAGGGGAACCAGGATACATCGCCGTGTCTTTTTACTTTCCGCTTTTACTGCATTCAACACTTAGTAACTTTTAGGAAAGTAAAACAAGAAATCTACATCAAGACCGAAAAAAGATTTTCAATACCTAATTCACCCCCTTTTAGGTGCAACTCTACTTACAATCTTTATAATCTTTCTTCTTCAATTCTTTATATGCAACTTTTTTTTTATCCGATGCATTTTCTACAAGTGGTGTTACTCTTTCCTTCATAAGATCCCAAAGATCTTGATAACTGAAAATCACCTTCATCTGTTTGCACCAATTCTCATAATTTTGACACTTCATAATTGGGAAACTCGCCGAAAAATGCTCCTTCGAATGATTCATCGTCATCGTGTTTTGCTTCTCATGAATTGCTCAACTAGTTCTCTAGATATCAGATGTTGGAATTAAACCCAAGACCTTGAGTAATTCCGAATCAATCTTGACGAACAAGATTCAATCACACCGATCAAATTCCCTCTTGTTCTTCACTCTTAACTTGAGTGAATCAACCAACCTTAGTTGTAAGATTGTATCGCTGCACAATGGTGATGAAAAACAAAAAAAAATTGAATTTTGGAAGAAAGGAAATTAGGGATTTATAACAAAATAGGGAAGAAGAAGAGTTTCTACAAAGTAACTCTCTGCTCTAAAAACTACAATTTTATTCAAGTGAATCACACTTTACAATAATAAGTTTACTCCCTATTTATAGATTTAGCTTACTTGCTCCCTAAGCAAAAGGCTCAAAATACCTAATTTTGTTAACACTACAAAATTAGACCTAAGTCGAAAGTATTGTCGAGGTACACTCCTTCGACGTTTCGACATTCACACAATTTTGACACACAACATTTCAACGACAACAGACTTTGTCAAAAATACTACTTTGACACAAAGAATTATAATTCAACATATAATACTCGACTAAAAAATGGATGATTCACTGAAGAAACATAATAATGCTTTTAAAAATCATCTTGGCATGTCACCCTTTATGCTTATGTATGAAAAAACTTCTCACCTTCTAATAGAATTAGAACATAAAACATAACATTCATAACAAAATGATGTTGTTATTTAAAACTTGAAAGCTCTCTACATTAAACTATATGTTCTCCAAATATATCCAAACAGGTCTCACTATGAAATGAGTCATTTAAAATAAAGGGAAAAATCAGAACAAAGAGTTTTGGTCTTTTTAAATGAATAGGAATAGAATTGAACTCAACGTGTTTTAAAAGTAAGAAAAATAACATTAACCTTACTTACTACTTTATTCTGTTGCTTCCTTCGTTTCGTTTATCACCTCTTTCACATGTTCTTTCTCTTTCTCCCCCTTTCTCCTTCAATGTTTACACTATCTTCTTGCATTATCAATCATTATCAAAGCTCGTTTACTCCTTTTGCTATTATCATGTATATACTTGTTGTTCCTTTCAAAACCTCTAAGATTAACAAACAAATAATATTCATCAACGTTCTTTGATCAGTGCATTTTAATGCACCTTCCTCTATGTTTAGACTTTAGAATTTCTACAGTTTAGTTTGTTTAATTTCCTATTTTATAATGTTTTTACCATTTATTTTATTTTAAACTTTATTTAATTTTCGTTGGAAAGATAAGAAAAAGATCTACAACTTTTATGTTGCACAAAGGAGCTGATTCAGATTTCTTGAGTCTCGAATAATTCGTTGAAGTTTCTGACTTGTGATAATGTAGTTTTCCTTGCGGACCTAGTTTATGTTTCTGGCCCAGTTATTTTCTATTTAAGGTTGCTGCTGTGATGCAAAACAGGAACCTAGTTTATTTTCCGAATTTTGCTTTGTTTTTCATTGTTTTTTTAGCGAACTAATCCTAAGGGAAAATCCGCCGGTTAATGTTAATATAGATAGTCACAAACAAACATTTATTTTGATTGATTGCTTGTAAATTATGTGTGATCAATCATAATCTTCCTATTTTTATTCTTGCATTGAGTCTTGTCTCCTTTGCCTCTAATTTTTTTGGAACCACCACGCTTTTTTCCATGTTTGGGCGTACAATGCTTGTATCGAATCGTTAACCTTTTTCCTTTCGACAATCTTTAACTCATGTACCTCTAACGAACCAACTAAATCTTCCAGTTTCAAAATTTCAAAATTGTTGAATTCTTAAATGACTATGATAACATGATCAAAGTGAGAGGTCAATGTACGCATTATCTTCTCAACTATCATCTTGTCAATTAGGACTTCACCACAACCTTTTATGAGATGAACAAGATTCTGCACCTTAGGGGCATAGTCTTTAATCTTTTCATCTTCTCCACATGTGCTGTAACTCATACTACCTTTGCAGTGTCTGCAATTTGACAATTTTAACCTTCTCACCACCTTCATAATACTTGAATACATAACGCAACCTTGTAATATTTCTTCTTCGCATTCTTGTGACTGATTCACTAAGCCTCGTTTGCGTTTTAGCAAGCCCTGAAACGCCATTAGTAATCACTTCTAGGGTTTCGTAAAAATCAAACAACGACTGCATCTGTTTTCTTCATCAATTCCAAAATTTTCCATCAAAAATTGAAAGAGAATTGAGAATATCATTGCTACGATTCATCTTTGCAGCAAACACAATTCACGATTCCCGAAAACACAACCACCGACGTGAAGTTCTTGAATTCACGGTCAAGAAAACGAACCATAAACTCTAGATATCAATTTGTTAGTGTCAATGCACTTGGGTGAGAGAGGAGTGAAAGAGAAGAGAGAGAACAAATGAAAAGTAAATTGTATTGAATTGTTAAAATTAAATTACACAAAATATATATATATATATATATATATATATATATATATATATATATATATATATATATATATATATATATATATATATATATATATATATATATATATATATATATATATATATATATATATATAAGTAGGTTATTTGTAACTAAGTAACTAATCACAACAAACTAACTAACCAAATAACCAACTAATTTGAATTATATCATAACATCTGCTCTGCTTCACTCCATTCTATTACATCTCATTTGGCTCCACTTTGTTCTAGTCCATCAATCCAATGATAACCTAAGGCATATTAATTGGGCTAAATATATCAAACAAATTTTAGTGGAATTAGAACATAAGACACATTAATTGGGCGAAATATATCAAACAGAACACATTTTTAACAAATTCATGCCAGTCATTTGAATCTTTGAAGCTTCCCACAATACCAATAATTTAAAATAAGGGAAAAAACTAACTTGAGAAAAATAAGCATAGGAGTTTTGCTGTTTATAAATCAGTTGCATAGAACTCAACTCACGTCGCGTGTTTCAAAAGTAAGCAAATAACAGTAACCTCACTCACTACTTCATTCTGCTGCTTCCTTCCTTCGTTCATCACCTCTTTCGCAGGTTTCTTTTCTTTCTTTCCCTTTCTCCTTCTACATTACATTATTAATCATCATCGTCACTCGTTTATTTCTTTTGCTATTATCATGCATATACACTTGTTTATTTTGATTGATTGATTGTTTATTTTGATTGATTGATTGTTTGTTTATAAATTGTGTGATCAATCTTAATCTTCCTGTTCTTCATCCATCAATGTGCTTTTTGTTATTCATTCTCAACATGCAAATAAAGGGGGTTTCACTCAAATGATCTAGGGTTCATTCTCTTGTTTCTTTCTATTCAAAAAATTTCATCTTTATTTTATATGTTTCCCCTAAATCATTGTCGAAGTGTGTTTTTTATTTGTGTTGAACCTGTGTCAAGAATAGTCACAGTGGTGTAGTCAGGATTTTCATGTTTTAGGTCCTATTGGTTATTTTGTAGTCACAGTGGTGAAGTCAGGATTCTTTCTTCTGTTTTAGGTTACCTCTAAATTACAAAACAAACTATCAATTCCTTAGGGATAGTTGAATGGATATTGGACAATAGTTAGTATATGATGCTTTCAAAAACCAGTGGCCTGTTAAATATGAATTGCATGTCATTAACACTTCCAGTTACTGTTATTTTCTGTATCCATTTCTACGTAAGCCCTTAATTTCAGTTTATACGAGTTATTGACCTTATTTTCCTATTTTTCTTGACAGATGGTGTCCTTAGACGAGAAAGAAGGCCCGAGTCCTAAAATAGGTCCTGACCACCAGGCGGAAATTCTTTCGGATTCAGACCAGCTTTCACTTCAAATCAGTCCTGCTTATTCAGAAGATGTGTATCATGAATCACTTTCTTCTTCAATTGGGTTGCCCATCTCAGTCACATGGAGTGATGCTGATGCAGAAAGTTTCGTACTTGCATTGTTTATTTTTGGGAAGAATTTTACTCTGATAAAAAAATTCTTGGAGAACAAAGGGATGGGGGAAATTCTCTCATTTTACTATGGAAGGTTTTTCAAATCAGATGGATATCATAGATGGTCGGAGTGCAGGAAGTTAAAAGGGATAAAACATACGATAGCGAAGAAACTTTCTACCAAAATGAGGCAACATGACCTTTTGTCTCGCTTGAGTCCTCAGGTCTCTAAAAAATCACAAGATACTTTGTCTAAGGTATTAAACTGTTCAATCTCATCTCTATGCCCATTACCAATACTTTTTTTTTTTAAATCATAGTTTCAGTCCTCACTTTGCTTATATTTATACTCAGGTTTCTAAATCATATGTGGAAGGCAAAACTTCTCTAGAAAAATACATATCTTCTGTGAAATCTATTGTTGGACTTGGCGTTCTTGCGGAAGCAATAGGTATTGGTAAGGAGAACGGAGTCCTTACTCGGCTTGATTTGGAACCTAGGAAGAACAGATGTGGGGAGTTTTATGCACCAGCTTGCAAAGCTTTGTCTTCTCTTGGACCGGATGATATAATACGATCTTTGACAGGAGGATGTCAGCTGAGCAAAACCAGAAGTAATGAGCTTTTTTGGGAAGCTGTTTGGCCCCGCTTACTGGCAAGAGGTTGGCACTCTGAGCAACTAAAGAATCATGATTATCTGGTTTTTCTTATTCCCGGCGTTAAAAAGTTTTCGAGGAGAAAACATTTGAAAGGGCAACATTACTTTGATTCTGTTAGGGATGTCTTGAGTAAAGTAGTAGCGGAACCAAATATTATTGTGCTTGAAGAAGAAGAAGTTGAAGAAGGAGGATCAAACGAAGATGATTTCTCTGACGATCATCGTCAATGTTACCTCAAGCCTCGATCTTCTACAAGTTTGGTGCATTGCGGAAAGCCGTCAGATTTAAGGAAATTGAAATATGTTCCGTCTAATAAAGTGAATATAGTTGAGGCAGATGTTGACGGTAAAAGATATAAAGGTCATACATATAGTAGGAGAGTAAAGCATAGCAAGGATATGTCTAAAAGCATTACACAGAGGTCAACAAAGTTATCAGTTATTGATACCAATGGACTTCCTAAAAGAAAACTATTGAAGATGAAACATAAGAGATATCTGCCTGTTGAAATGGAAGATGCTTCTACGATGATTACTGATCTTCTACACGAAAGAATTGGTGGTTCTTCAATTAATGATTCACCAATGGTAGTGAAATCTAAGGTTCTTATATATGGCAGAAAGAAAACTGATAGTTGGATTGGTGTATCTAACAGGAGAGTCTTCATTAAAAAAGAAGCACATGATAATCCTGATAATGATTCAAACAAGATGGTCGAAAGCCAGAAATTTCAACGTGGCTGCATGTTTGATGATAGTCAACTGAAGAGGATCATGGAGCATCATCAGTTCAATTGGAGAGTAACATTAGGCGATTCTAATCATGTCACTGTTCCTACTAAAAGGAGGAGATTGACTGCTTGTGTTAAGGCAGAGAATAGCCGCAGCGTTCAAAAATTTTCAGGAGGTTTGGGATCAGATAAAGTAAGATTCTCTTGTTCTTCTAGCTTTCTAGATGCCAACCAAAATGTTTGTGATCCAATTTCCCACCAGCAGAATGGAAGTTCAACTGCTCCATCAGAAGACAGAAGTAGGAGTCGCAATGACAGTTTTCAATGCATGAGTGTTGAAATTGAGGATCCTCTGAGAAGACCTTGTGATGAACAACAGGCTGATATAAATCCCAGGAGACAGAGCAGTAGAAACAGCAAAATGACAGTTAAAGCATTGGAATGTATAACATATGGATTCTGGCAAAGCAAGAATGACATCCAGACACACACACATATTTTCAATCCTTGTCGCAAAGCTCGTACAAGAGGCAAAATAAAGCCGCGTCGTCACTTTTTAGATCATTGGAATGCAGTTTCAGTACAAGAAGAAAAGCACTTGAAGGTAGATGGCAGTGCTAGCTAAATATCTGCATACTTTGTTATGCTAAAGCGTAGAGTTCAGTGGTGATAAAAATGGTTTGAATGTAGTGATATGTTTCTCCTTGCCTGACTTACAAATTGTATTCCAAGGCTGTCAGATGATTAGGCATACTGTCATGTTTTATTTATTTTATTACTCAATGTCACCCAAGTGACTTGTTGTTAGAAAATTTTGTTCTATTTTTTTTATCTTCTTCCATTCATATATACAACATTTTTTAATGATTTTCCTATAGTGATCAATGAATCTTATACATTACATGTTTACATGGTGGGTGCAATTGTTTATGGTAGAATCATCATTCATAACCTTACATGAAAGGATAGTTCACATTTCCAACTTCTCTATTGTTAGAATAGAAGTAGAAGAAGTTCATATCTTATAGTCAAAGTAGTTCACATATTCGTACAAAGATTATAAAGAGATTATAAATTGTGTATGTTAGAGGAGTTTATCAATATGGAACATTGAATATTAGGTTAAGAGCAACATAAGTGGAAAAAAAAACTACATATTTACCCAAAACTTTAAGGTGATAGGTGTTGCCACTTATAAATGCTCAACTATCTACATTTATAATCAATGTGGGACTCCAACTCACACTTGTTATATTATTCCCAACACTCTCCCTCAAGTGTGAATTCACAATGCTCTCCCTCATGTGAAAACTCTTTTGTTCACATATATTATTTCCTGGGCATTTCGATTCAACGGGACATCACTTCATGTGCATTTCGATACATGTTGTTGGGGAGATTTTCACTAAGAAGCATTGAACATTGGGTCAAGAGCTTCTGTTGTGTGTTTCTTGGGGAAGATTTTTACTATGGAGCGACCTTTGTGAGAGATACGCCACATACTCACCCAACCTTTACGTACCAAAGGCTCATGATACCATTTGTTGGCGCAACAATCAGAAAGCATTCTAATTGGCGGGACACCTTTTTAGAGCAAGACACATTTGTGAGAGACACACCACATATTCACGCAAAACCTTAAGGTGATAGGTGTATGAGTTCTTCCACTTATAAATGCTCAACTATCCACATTTATAATCAATGTGGGACTCCAACTCATATTTGTTATATTATTCCCAACACTCCCCCTCAAGTGTGAGTTCATAATAAGGATTTATTGAATGAATTGTTATGAATAATGATACATAATATGACTATTTATATACAACCCTAATTGGGCTTGGGCTAACAAACTTTGGATTATATTTAAATATTAAATCTAATCAAACCTAATCTAATTTAATATTTTAACATACCCCCCATAATCCAAGTTGTCGAACCTATGCTAATCATAGTCGATTTGAACTATTCCTAATTTCTTTCTCAAATTTAGGAATATGCCGATCTCCAATTGTTTGGTAAAAATGTCGGCCAACTATGCTTCACTTGAGCAATGTCTAACTTCAAGTTCACCTCGATTTACATTTTTCCTTAAAACGTGAAATCTAGCTTCGATATGCTTACTTCTTCCATGCAGAACTAAATTCTTCGCCAGATTTATGGCAGACTTGTTGTAAATTTGCAACACAAGAGGTTTCTTCACTTCGACCTCCATTTTTTCAAGTACCGGTCTAATCCAAATTGCTTGACATGCAGCATAATATCCTGCTATATATTCCGCTTCACATGATGATAGTGTCACCACAGGTTGCTTTCTCGAGCACCATGAAATTGGGGCACCAAATACTTGAAAGAAATATCCAGTAGTGCTTATTCAATCTTCCTTATCTATGCACCAATTAGCATCTGAATAACAAGTAACCATAGCTTCTTTTCTTTCAGAGTCTCGTCGAAATAAAACTCAATAGTTTGTTGATTCTTTTAAGTATATCAGGATTCTTCTTGCAACCTTCATGTGTGACACCCTTGGTTCACTCATGTATCTGCTCACTAATTCGACTGAGAAACATATACCAGGTCGACTATTGCACACATATCTTAGATATATGACAATCTATATAAACAAAGTTGCATCGACTTTGTCTTCCTCTCCATGCTTCTCCGACTTTAAATTTGGTTCGATAGGCGAAGATCCAGGAGTTGAATCATCCATTTTGAATCTCTTGAGTATCTCTTTGACATACTTTCTTTGATGAGGCACCGTGCTTTGCTTCGACGTTTGAAATTCCATGCCTAGGAAGTATGACAACTTTCCCAGGTCTGACATTTCAAATTCCTTCTTCATCAACTCTTTGAACTTCGACAAGTTCTTCAGACTATTTCCAGTAGTAAGTCATCCACATATAAGCAGATTATTGTTATATCTTGTGCCACAAATTAAACATAGACATCATACTCAGATTTGCATTTTACGAATCCCAATTCAACCAAGTATGAGTCGATCTTCTTGTTCCATGCCATAGATGCCTGCTTGAGACCATATAGCGCTTTGTGCAACTTGTATACTTTACTTGCTTCCTTCTGAATCACAAACCCAAGAGCTTGTGTGACATACACCTCTTCTTCTAAAGGTCCATTAAAAAATATTGATTTCACATCTAAGTGAAATGTTGACCAACCTTGTTTGCATGCCAAGGCCACCACTAGTCAAACTGTTTCCAATCATGCGACATGTGCAAATACTTTAGAGTTGTCGAGTCCTGATCTCTGGAGAAATCCTCGAGCGACCAATCTCGTCTTATGTCTTGCTATCAACTCATCAGCATTGTGTTTCAACTTGAACACCCACTTTACTTCGATAGCTTTTGTATGAGCTGGAAATTTGACCAACTCCCATGTGTTGTTTATTTCAATTGCTTGCAACTCTTCGACCGTAGCAGACTTCCATTGTTTATCTTTGAAGGCTTCGCTATAGTTGATTAGTTCAGCACCTGCAAGTAAAGCAAAATGAACTAATTCCCCATCTATTGTGACTTCATCATCACCAACCACTTCATAGTCTTGAAGTCTTGCTGGATGAGCTCTAGTTCTTTGAGGTCTCTAACTTGTTCCAGCAATATCTTCTTCGACTTCAACTGTGTCGAGAATGTCAGCAACTGCTTCGACTGGATTATCAACAATGTCTTCAACTTCGACATCATTACTTGCTTCATCAAAATCATAGCTCATCACTGGCTTGTCAATTGCATTACTAGAATTTCAATCCTAGGCAGAATTTTCATCAATCACAATGTCTCGACTCATCACAATCTTCAGATTAATTGGATTGAACAACCTGTATGCTCCAATCTTATGATTTCCTCTCAGAATCATAGGTTCACTCTCATAATCAAGCTTCCTTCTCCTAGAATCAAGAATATGCTTGTAGAAAATAGAGCTAAACACCTTTAGATGACTCACTGATGGTCATTTTCCACTCCACACTTCTTCAAGAACCTTGTTCTTCAGCTTCTTGGTAGTGTCGCACCTCAAAAATTCATTAAAACATACGACCCTCGCGCTAAAGGTGCGGAAATGCGGTTCGACAGAGTCGCCACTGAACTTTATTTATCCCGAAGAGACGGGAAAGGAAAATATCGAGAAAACCTTTCAAAATAAAAGGACAGGGACAAAGTCGTCGCAACCAATATTCCGGGTTCAGGAGTTGATTACGCAAGGGGAAGGTATTAGCACCCCTCAAGTCCGTTGTACTCAACGGGAACCTCTTAGGGAGATTTTGCGATGAGTGTTATCTAAACTTGCTTGTTTTCTTCTCAATGATAAAAGCGAATTGGTAGAATAAAAGGATAAATATGCTAAGGAGAAATGGGTGGTTTAGGATAGGGTGTTCGCCAAGGATTGGGGCCCTTGTGCCTATGCATGCTCATTCGGATGAGAATGAGAAATCAGAGCTCTTGTAATTCGACTATGAGAAAGGATAGGGGAAACAGAAGATGGATAAAAGGTAGCGGAATGACGGGAAAAGATAGAAGTGAGTTGGCCAAGATCATGGCAATCTTATGCCTACGTATCTTACATTCAGATGAGAATGAAGAATCAGAGCGTTCGTAGTTCGTGGGGACGACCACAAAATGAGAGGGGTGGAATTGGTTTGAAGTTTGGTTGAGAAATGAAAGATTAAATGATGAACAACCTAAGGGGCGTGCCTCGAGAGCTGTCACTCAAGAATCCAAGGAATGTGAGATTCCAAGAACTCAGTTCTTTTGGAAGTTGATTGAATAGGTTTCGAGAAAGGGTGAACATTTTGAATTTGAAAGAATGAATAAATAATAACTCAAGGGGCGTGCCTCGAGAGCTACTCATTCTAAAATTCAAGGAATGCTAGACTCCAAGAATATCCTTCTTTCGTAAGTTTGATTACGAAAATATTTGAATAAAGATTAGGTGTTTTGAGACGAAAGGGTGAATGAATGACAACCCAAAGCGTACGCCACAAGAGCCATTCATTCGAAGATCCAAGGAATGCTAGACTCCAAGAATCTTCTTCTTTCGTTAATGTTGCGGTGAGAATCGTGATACCAAGCTATTGATTAACTTGAATCTTAATTCTTAAATTCACAACCAGACTTTAATTTATCCAAAGGAAAGGTCTAAAGAAAGAAAGAACCTTTTGCGCGATGTAACAACAACACTAAGAGATTCGGGGATCGGGGGTTGGTTATGCATATGGTAGGTATCTCACATCCTAAACATCTATAGTACTCTACAGGAACCTTTTGTTTTTTTGCATGCTAAGTTTGCTAAATGTTTGCTATGGATTGGGATTGGGTAAAGGTGTAGGTTAAAACCTAAAGATAGTTTCTAAGTTTGCTCGCAAAGACGTCGCGTCCTCTGCCTATGTATCCTAACTAGGATAGAATCAAAGCAATCGTAGTTCACCTTACTAGGTTTGAAGAACACTTGATTATGATCAAGGTTCAAAGAGGAACAAACATATCCATGCTTGTGTAGAGTTTCACAAAACTCTCTAGATCTATGTTGAACTCTCAAGAAAGGGAAGTAAGTAATCATATCCATGATTCTTACATAGAGTTAACCAAACTCTATCCTAAAGTTCTACGTTGT